GGGACAGGAAGCCACAGCCACCTGGATTTTCCTGAATATGCCTCAAGGTAAAATACTCAACGATCCCACAAAAAGCAGGAACCAAACCACACACCCACACCCAGAGGAAAATTTCAGACAAAAAGCAGCCAAAACTCTACTCTATTGCTTAAAAATCTTTTTTTATTCTTGGGAATTCTTTAATGGTTTCTCTACTGCCTAGGAAAAGGATTCCTATGAGAATTAAAAAAAATCGAAAGTCCAGTGCCATGACCGTTGAGCTTCCGCTCTGTCTGTTCTGACTACACAGATGATTGGATGGACGGTTTCTTCTTCAGACCCTCGCTTGAAGGTGACGAGCGCCTCTTCGTCATCCCAGGAAGGCGCAGATCTGAAAGTAGAAGGAAACAGGGTGGGAGCCACCCGTGGGAGGGGCAGCCCCAGCCCCCAGGGCCGCGGCGCCTGAATCCCCCTGCTGTCCCGGGCTTGTTCTCGGCGCTGACCATGGCGCCACGGTAGCTCAGGCTTGCTGTTCTGATAATGCTGAAGTCGTCAGACCTGCAAGGGCCGGGGGAACCGGGCTGGCAGGGTGGCAGCTGGCACAGTCTCTCTTCTTACCAACGGCACCTTCTAGACCATACTCAGTTTTGGGACGTTTTTGACAGGCCGGGGTTGGGCAAGCAGGGCCCTGCGAAGGGGCCTGGAGCCTCGGAGCCCAGACGTGGGTGACTGTGCCGTGTCCCAGGGCATTCCGGGCGGCAGGTGGTCCATGAGGCAGGTCTGCCCCATGTCCTACCGCATTCTGGCAGCAGGCGTTGGTGCGCCCACACCTCCGTGGCGCCCTGAGCCCTGCCTGCAGGGGAAGGTGGCCCTTCAGTGGACAGGTCCTGTGCCAACGCAGCTGTCAGGGTGGCAGGCAGCGCCCTGCCCACTTAGGGCCTACCCTGGGAGCGCAGAAACAGCGTGGCAGACGGGGTCACGGGTGACTGCAGGCCGAATGCATGCCCCAGGGCATGGGGAGGAAGGCAGGATCCCAGGGACAGCTGTCCTGCTGGGCTCCTGGCCTCTGCATCTGGTGTGCCTGGAAAAGTGAAGGTTTTAGGACAGCAAAACAACCAGTAACACAGACAAGCTCAAGGCTGGGTGAGTGCTGTGCCAGGAGCCTGAGCCCAGGTCCTTGCCTGCAGTGAGTTTGCAGCGCTGCATGGAGGGGCACAGTGGGCGCCGGCGACTGGGGACCTCAGCAAAGCCCTGTGAGCTCCAGCTTCCTTAGCTGCAAAGTGGATCCTAGGATCTCTGCCGTCTCACAGGTTGCTAAGGTTTAAGGGAGGTGAACCACAGCGCCTCTGCGCAGTCCCTCCCCCAAGGAAAGTGCTGACGGGACATCAGCTGCTCTACTGTCTATTACTGAAGAATAAGCTCCTCCTTGCAAAGTGCGTTCGTGTTTATTTGAACACCAAGGAGCACAGGCCCGCCGTGCAGGCCCAGACTCACTGGCTGACTGCCTCCTCCCCCAAGGCCATCACCGCCGTCTCTTCAGCTGCTTCTGCAGTTGTAGGACGAGGTTGCTGGGCTGCGTTTTGTGTTTTGACGTTGTCACTGTGGGAGCTGGCCTGTCGGGGACAAGCTGTAGCACTTTTTAAACTCCACCGCACAGAGCTCCCGTTGGGGTTCGTTCACCCTGCCCACGGAGTGCTGTCCTTCCTGCTGGGGCTGCTCAGGGTTTACGTGAGCTCGGTTATGTACACGTGGATTAGAGTTCCGCCACGGAATGCGCCGTGATTGCTCGTCCTGTGGCACATCCCATTCCCCCAAGTTAATAACCGTATTCTGTTTTGTTTAGCCTGGGTTTTAATGTACGCATTCTCAAACCAACCTCAAACCTTTTTTTCAGTTGTGTTGATCCCCCTGAATAAGCTAAAATGCATTTGCTCAGACCAGTATTTCGGTGCAGTGGGTTAAGTGACACCAGCATCCCATAGGAGCACTGGTTGGAGTCCCGGCTGCTCCCCTTCCAATCCAGCTCCCTGCTAATGCTCTTTGCAAAGCAGTGGATGATGGCCCAAGTGCTTGAGTCCCTGCCACCCATGTGGGAGACCCGATGGAGCTCCAGACTCCTGACTTTGGCCTACATGGCCCAGCACCAGCTGTTGCAGCCATTTGGGAAATGAACCAGCAGATGGAGGATCTCTTCTTCTGTAACTCTACCTTTTGAAATAAATCTTTAAGTAAAACCACATATGCCATCAATTTCATCTTTTTTTTAAAGATTTATTTTATTTATTTGAAAGAGTTAGAGAGAGGTAGAGAAAGAGAGAGGTCTTCCATCTGCTGGTTCACTCCCCAGATGGCTGCAACGGATGGAGCTGTGCTGACCTGAAGGCAGGAGCCAGGAGCTTCTTCTGGGTCTCCCACGCAGGTGCAGGGGCCCAAGTACTTGGGCATCTTCTACTGCTTTCCCAGGCCATAGCAGAGAGCTGGATCAGAAGAGGAGCAGCCGGGACTAGAACCGGCGCACATATGGGATGCCGGTGCTTCAGACCAGGGCAGTAACCCGCTGCACCACAGTGCTGGCCCCAGCCATCAATTTCATCTTGAGGAAATCTCTCTCAGAGCCCTGTCACATGCCTCAGTTGGGACTGATGGTTTCCTAGGCCTCCTGCACACTGCTGTCTTGCCCTTGCCACTGTGCGGAGCTTGCTAGATGTGTGGTCGGAGGACCTTGGATTTGTAAGTGCACACGTGCATACCTGGAGTAGAAACTCCCTTTTGCAGGCTCCTTTGCAGCTACACAAGGCCATGTGACTAAATTATGACCAGTGAATGCTAAGGGAAAGGACTTGGTGCAGTCTTTGGGAGGCCTCCTCCAAGCAAGGCGGGCCTGTCCTTCCCATCGTCCCTTCTTGGAAGTGCCTGTGTGGGCCAGCTCTCCAGTGGCCCTCTCAGCCGTCAGCCCACTCGGAATTGGCCTTGGGAGCGGAGACACAGCAGCCTGCGTCCTGGTGGGGACGGGTGTCCCAGCAGCCCTGGACAGTGTAAGGAGGAGGCAGTCGTCTGCTCTGTTTAAGGCGCAGTTATTTCTTTATTTGCCATTTTCTGGAGACAGTGACGATTCAAGCTAGAGACATAGTCACTGTGGGGATTCCGGTTGCCTCTCGTTTTGCTGTCTCCTGTCTTCTCCTGCCTCCCCTTATCAACTGAATGAATCACTCACTCCAGAATCTTAGCAAGAAACGATGCGTGAGAGGTAAGTGTTTGAGGATTTGTGCTTTTGGAACTTTCTCCTATCCTCACATTCCAACAGTGGTTTGGCTGGTTGCAGAATTCAGTGTAGAAACACCGTCTCTCAGAACTTGAGGGTGTTTCAAACTCCCAGTGTAGTCATTGAAAAACCCCATGACCTCTGATTTTTTTTTTTTAAAGATGTATTTATTTGTTTGAAAGGGCTACAGAGGGAGAGAGACAGAGGGAGAGAGAGAGAGGTCTTCCATTTGCTGGTTCACTCCCCAAATGGCCAGAGTGGCCGAGCTGGGTTAAGGCAGAGCCAGGAGCTTCACCTTGGTGTCCCACATGGGTGCAGGGGCCCAAGCACATGGGCCATCCTCTGCTGCTTTCCCAGGCACATTAGCAGGGAGCCGGATGGGAAGTCGAGCAGCAGCCGGGACATGAACCAGCGCCCATATGGGATGCCAGCGTCACAGCAGATAGCTTAACCCACTGTGCCACCACTTGGGCCTCGTATTCTTGATTCTCTGAGGGAAGCGTCTTTGGGAGCCTCTCTCCGGTGTCATTTCACTCTGATGTGCCCATGGACTTGCTCAGCTCCCTCCAGAGGGTCTCCTCGCCATCAGGTTAAAAGCTGCAGGCAGGTACCTGCCAGGTGGTCCTGCCCCCAGCCGCTCTGTTCCGCACTCCTCGCCATGGTCTTGGTGGCCGCTCTTTGATCAGCTGTATCTCGAGCCCCTCCACACCCCTGAGCTACCTGAAAATGAGGGCCGCAGCAGGGCTCAGCAGGTGCCTGTGTTGGCCGTGGTGGTGTCACGTGAATGGTTGCACTGCTCTGTCACTCACAGGTGACCAGATGTCCTGTTTTCCTTTGCTGTGATGTTAAGACAGCAGAAATAACTGGATTTGGAAGCCCTGGTCATCTCTGCCCTCAGCTGTGCAGTTGTGTCACATTGCCATGGTAGAAGGGTCCATGGGGCTGCGGCGATCCATCGATCCATCCACCAGCACGACACAGAGGGTCTGGCTCCCAGGAAGGGTGCCCTGGACCCCCAGCAGAGACGTGGCCCCAGCACGAGTGTGTCCTCGCGTGGAATCCCTGCCGCTCGTCTCCTGTGGTGGTCAAAGCTTTTCCTTCCCTAGCTCGGTCCAGGCAACATAAAGTCTGATGACAGGTAGTTTCTAATTCTGAATCTGCGATCCCTAAAAACAAGGGAAAGTTCTAGATTGTTCATCTTTTAGGAATATCTTGGTGGATTACAAAGCTCCCGAAGACGGAGGCTTTTTAGTACAAACCTGAAACTCCCTGACAAGACCGTGGCTGTTGCAAATGGACTGCATTTGGTGACGATGGTTTATGTTAGGCTGGGATAAGATAAGCACAGGCGTTAGCCTGGGAGGGAGGAGGGAGAGCAGCCTTAGAGAAAGAATTTTCCCTGTGTGGTGGTCAGAACTGGGGCTGCGTGGGAAATGATAGAAAAGAGCATTTCTTTCCCCAAAGGGAGAATCCAATCACATCAAAACACAGATTTTTATACGCTCTAAAGGGCAGTGCTGAGTTTTCTCTCACAGATCAAGACGAACTCGTCACAGAAATGTAAACTTTGAAACAAGACAAGGGATCAAAATCGTGACACATATTTTTACAAGCATCGTCCTATTTTTAAAGTTTATCTCAGTTTTCCACATTGCTGATTACCGTGCAATACTTGTACATTTTTATGGGGTGCAGAGGAATATCTCAACACATGTACACAAAGCAAACTGGCCTTTCTTTCCTTTCCTTCTGTCTGCAGCCCGCCAGCTCTGCTCTTGCAGCTGTTTGTGCAGAGTGTGGTACCTGACCGTGAGCTGGAGCTGCCCCACTGCACCATGGAACCCTAGAACTCGCCACCCTGGACTGGGCTGTGGCACCCATCACCCAGACAGCCTCTGTCTGCCTTCCTCCCGCCCTGCCCACTTCCAGCCTCTACAGCTCAGCACAGATGCATACATTAAAACTAAAAAGTGGTCCATATATACAGTGGACTATTCTGCCACAAGAAGAATGCAGTCCTGACGGTGGCAGTGAAATTAGTGGAACTGGAGATCCTTATGATAAGGTAGATGCAGAGAGACAGATGCTGTGTGTTCTGTCTCAGATATGGAGGTTGATTAATAAAAAGTTGATAATTAATTTAAAAATATGTTGTGCGCTGTGCCACAGTGGGTTAAGCCGTCGTCTGCAGTGCCCTCATCCTATATGGACGCTGGTTTGAGTCCTGGATGCTCCACTCCAATCCAGCTCCCTGCTAATGGCCTGGGAAAGCCATGGAGCATGGCCCAGGTCCTTGGGCACCTGCACCCACGTGGGAGACTTGGAAGAAGCTCCTGGCTCCTGGCTCCTGGCTTTAGTCTGGCTCAGTCCTGGCCATTGTGACCATTTAGAGAATGAACCAACAGATGGAAGATCTCTCTCTCTCTCTCTTCTCTCTGTAACTCTGCCTTTCCAATAAATAAAAATAAATCTTTAAAAAAAATAGTTGATCTAGACTTCAGAGTGATTATATGTGGGGTTTTTTCTTCATACGCCTCTCTCTTTGTGCCCACCTCCCTACCCTTTCTGCCCCTGTCTCTTCCCACGTGTTGTCTTAATCTAATATTACTGAGACCTTGGAGATTTTCCAACTCAGTGCCTGACCCACAGAGACCCAGAGAAGCTGTGCAACCTGTCTAAGGTCACACAGCAGGTCCAGGGCAGCTGTGGCCCCGGCTCCATCTGTTCCTGCGTTGCTGGTGTTTGTGTTGCTGGAATAGAACGCCTGAGCCTGGGGGATTTAGAAAGGAAAGAGGTTTCTCCTGGCTCACAGGTCTGGAGGTCCATGAGGGTGGAGCCAGCATTTGCTCAGCCTCGGGTGATGGCCCCGTGTTGAGTGGGTGACAGCTGGGCACAGGGGAGCAGGGAAGATGGGGCCAACTCCCACAGTGGCTGACCCATTGCCACGGGAAAGCATTAATCCATTCATCAGAAGCTTGCTCCCGCTGGGTCCTCCCTCCCAGCAGTGCTACCATGGCAACCAGATTCCAAAGTGAGTTTTGGAGGGGACAGCCACATCCAAAGCAGGGCACTGTCCTGCCTAGGCGGCGTTTGCCGTGGAGGATGTAACCATGCACACCTCTTGCTGAGAGCTTGCTTTGAGTCCAGCTGTCTCCTAAGTGTGTGAAATGTGTATTCTCATTTAATCCTCTAAACAATTTCAGGAGCTAGGGAGTATTGCCCCCACTTTATTGATGAGAAAACTGAGGACCGATTAAAGGTGGGGGAGACATAAATTGAACCCAGGTTATTTGACTATGGAGCCATTTTCTTGACAGACACAGAGGGATCTTCCATCCATGGTTCACTCCCCAAATGCCTGCAAGAGCCAAGGCTGGGCCAGGCTGCAGAGGCACTGGGAACTCCATTCAGGTCTCCCGTGTGGGTGCAGGGACCCGAGCACTCGAGCCGTCCTCTGCTACCTCCCAGGATGTGCATTAGCAAGAAGCTGGATCAGAAGTAGAGCCAGGACTTGGATCAAGCACTCAGATATGGGATAGGGCATCCAAAATGGCAACTTACTGCTGGGCCAAATGCCTGCCCCAAGCCCGTTTTTAAATTCAGCTCACTATGCTGTCTCTCAGTAGTTGCCATCTTCATGAGTTTGATCATTTGGAAATTTGGAGACCCTGAAAGTTGGAGTAATAGATTTAAAAACCTTAATTAAAATGTAGATCTCTGCAGTAAGTAATATCTATAGTTCATATGTACTGTGAATTAGAGTGCAGTTGTTTCTTGAACTGTCTGTTGGATTTTAGGAGCTAGGGGATTCAGGGACCAGAATTATCCTCCTTTCTATTTGATAGACCAGGAACATCTTGACAAGTTTTCCAAAGTGTTATCTGGAGAGTGACCACACGGGGCCAGTGGTGAGTAAGCATTGAAGCAAGCTGACAACAAAGCCACTTCCTCCTGTTGGAGAGAAAAGTGCTTCGTATCTAATCTATTCATGCCATATAATCTTGCTCATTCACTGTTTACAGATTATTTTACACACTACAGACCTACTACAGGTGTGACTTTGCGGAATTTCTTAAGAAGCCAGACCAATTCTTTGGAAATGTTGAAATATTAATGTGCTTCATCACTATCAGGTTAGTCTTAGAAATTACAGACCCCAAGATCAAGACCTAGGAGCTCGAAAGAAGGTTGGCTTATTAAATATTTTCAGATCTAGTTAATTACAGGAAAATTAAGATTTCTTTTTAAAAAATATTTATTTATTAGAGAGAGAGAGAGATCTTCCATCCACTGGTTCACTTCCCGGTTGGCTGCAATGGCCAGGCCATCTTCTTGGGCTATCTTCCACTGCTTTCCCAGGCCATTAGCAGGGAGCTGGATTGGAAGTGGAGCAGCCGGGATTCAAACCAGCGCCCATCTGGGATGCCAGTGTTGCAGGTGGTCGCTTTACGCACTACACCACCATGCTGAAAATGAAGATTTCTATTCCACATGTTTCCAGGGAGAATTTCTGTCATCTAACTTATATTAAAACCATGTAAAATAGCGCAGTTCAGAGGAAAACAGGAAATGAATCCACAGCCACAGGAGGAGAGAAAAGCCAGGTCAAGCACGTGTCAGCGCTGACTCTGAACTCCCGTGAGCGGGACGAGGAACAAGGAGAGTCCTGGGAGTTCTCCAGCACCTGCAAGCACGCTGCACCGGGCTGCACGTGGGACGGAGTCTTGGGCTGAGTCTCTGGGATCGCCTGTGGTGTGAAGTGCTCCTCGGATGCCCCCGCAGGGCTTGGGGTAGACAGAGCTTTCACACCGATGCTGCAGCAGGCAGGGCTTCCGGTTGCTGCCCTGAGAGACGCTCTGTGGTGGGCTGAATGTGTGTCGGCATCCGAGCCCCCAGGGTGTTGGTGTGTGTAGTGGGGATGTTGCGGGGCGGTGAGGTCATGGATGGGGTGAGTGCCCTTACAAGAGGGGCCTCAGAGAGCTCCGCGGCTCTTGCTTTGCTGTGTGAGGCCACGTGGAGAAGACGGCGATCTGCAACCCGGAGCCCTGGCCAGACCCCACGTCTGCCAGAGCTTGACCTGGCACCTTCTGTCCCCTCAAACTGGAGAAAAGGCCCTTTGTTGTTCAGGAGCTGCTCGGTCCATGGCTCTTTGTTACAGCAGCTGAGCTGACTAATACGCTCCCTGGAGTCCTTATCCTCCTTCTTGGAACTTGCTTTACTCTCTCTGGTCCCTGGTTTGTCTTTTCCTCTACTTACACTTTATACTCTGTTAATTATGTATCTTCCTGTCATTTAACTCACACTGTCAGGGAGACTATGAGGTCTGTGTCATCTGTGTCGCTTTGTATTGCACCTGTTGCAATGTGTTAATTTATCAAGGTCTGGGAACAGCCTCACAGTATCACGGTGGCAGTGTCCCAGAACAGGGTGCACTGACCGTTGATGTAGTTCGTTGTAATGAAGCCTGGCTCCAGCCACTGCTATTGCTTAATTTTATTCAAACATATTCTGGCAAACTTAAAAAAATTCATCATTAAAGCATTGATTTGTTGTAATTTCAAAGAAAATCATAGGGGCCGACGCTGTGGCGTAGTGGGTAAAGCCACCACCTGCAGTGCTGGCATCCCATATGGGCACCGGTTCTAGTCCCGGCTGCTCCTCTTCCAAGCCAGCTCTCTGCTATGGCCTGGGAAAGCAGTGGAAGATGGCCCAAGTCCTTGGGCCTCTGCACCCATGTGGGAGACTCAGAAGAAGCTCCTGGCCTCCAATCAGCACAGCTCCGACTGTTGTAGCCATCTGGGGAGTGAACCAGTGGACGGAAGACCTCTCTCTCTCTGCCTCTCTGTATAACTCTGACTTTCAAATAAATAAATCTTAAAAAAAAGAAAATCATAGATATTATAGAGTAAATCCGTTGTTTAAAGATTTACTTTATTTATTTGAAAGGCAGAGTTACAGAGAGAGAGAAAGATCTTCAGTCTGCTGGTTCACTCCCCAAACGGCTCCAATGGCCAGGGCTGGGTCATGGCAAAGCTAGGAGCCAGGAGTTTCATCTGGGTCTCCCCTGTGGGTACAGGCATTCAAGGACTTAGGCCATCTTCCGCTGCTTTCCCAGGTGCGTTAGCAGGGAGCTGATCAGAAGTGGAGCAGCGAGGACTTGAACTGGTGCCCATTTGGGATATTGGTGTCACAGGGTTGGCTTTACCCACCACGCCACAGTGTTGGCCCCTATAGAGTAAATATTGCTCAACTAACAGGTGTATATTGAGGGTCTGCTTTGTGCAAGGTAGAAGCCACGTTGTTAGATGGGAGCTTGCATTTTAGTGTGGAGATCTAGAGAATGGCTGAGCAGCAGGAGGGGTGAGTGCCCAGAAGAAAGTCACTTGGGCTCAGCGGCTGGATGTGTGACATGAGAAGCCCCTCTGAGAAGGTGGCATTCGAGGCCTGATCCAGCAAAGGTCACAGCAAGACATGCGCATGGCTATCAGAGGGAAGAGTAGGAGAGATGCATTTTTACGATTACCTTTAAAGATAAAACAGGATTTCCAAATGTTTTGACTTAAGTTGTCTCTTTGGGACCTTTTGGATCTTCTCCCCTAACTTCTTAGGCTACATTTCACTCTAAAATGCTTTAAGAAAAGTGTCTCATTCAGACACTGAATTCTTTTATTAAAGGGCAACTAAGGGGCTGGCACTATGATGTAGCGGGTTAAGCTGCTGCCTGCAGTGCTGGCATCCCATACGGGCACCAGTTGGAGTCCCCACTGCTCCACTTCCGATCCAGCTCTCTGCCTTAGCCTGGAAAAGCAGTAGAAAATGGCTCAAGTGCTTGGGCCCCTGCACCCACGTGGGAGACCCGGAGGAAGCTCCTGGCTCCTGGCTTCGGATCAGCGCAGCTCTGGCTGTTGTGGCCAACTGGGGAGTGAACCAGCAGATGGAAGACCTCTCTCTCTCTCTGCCTCTCCTCTCTCTATGTAACTCTGACTTTCAAATAAATAAATCTTTAAAAACAAGGCAAATAAATGATCCTTAGTGATAAGAGAATCTTTCAAGTAGGAACATAGGACCTTTGACCTGTCACAGTTAAGGAAAGATCTGATGTGAGGATGCTGGCCCTGGCCCAGAGTGCACTGCACAACGGAGCCACCATCTCCGAGGGTCTCCTCCTGCCCTGAGCAGCAGACCAGCATCCTGAAGAAGGAGAGGGAATAAGCCTCGGTCTTTCATGTTATTTTATTACTTTTTAAAAAGATTTATTTATTTATTTGAAAGAGTTGCAGAGAGAGAGAGAGAGAGGGAGGGAGACACAGAGAGAGAGATTGTCCATCTGCTGGTTCACTCCCCAAATGGCCACGATAGCCAGGGCTGGGTCAGGCTGAAGCCAGGAGCCTGGAACTCCATCCAGGTCTCCCACATGGGTTGCAGGGGGCCAAGCACTTGGACCATCCTCCGCTGCTCTCCCAAGTGTATTACTAGGGAGCTGGGTTGGAAGTGGAACAGCTGGGACTTGAACCAGTGCCATATGGGATGCTGGCATCACAGACAGCGGCTTAACCCACTGTGCTGACCCTGGTTCTTCACTTTAATGCTGCCTTCCTCCTTGAGTTTCCTCAGCTCAGGCTGCCTGGCGCTGTAACTCCTTACCCAGTTGTTGAAGCCTGTTGTGGTCTCCTCCCTGTCTGAACGTCTAGCCCTCACTTCAATGCACACTTCAGCATCGAGGTATTCTCTGATTATTTCGTGTACATTCCCTGTGGGTTCCCAAGGATGAGGCTTCTTCAATGTAGGGAGACCAGTCTATATACAATATCTTTTGTTGGATGGATGGATGGATGGATGGATGGGTGGAGGGAGGGGCATCCAAAGCAACCAAACAACAAACCAAATGCCTCTCCTCTGTGCAATAGGTCTGTCTGCAGAGGGCCTGCCACTGGCTCTGGCGATTTGGTCCTCTGGAAGTTCAGGGTTTGGGTTGAACAGTTAGTGTTGGGAAAGAGAGAGGGAAGCATAGACGGATCTGTGATAGCCACAGAGGAGGAATTCCCCGAACAGGCCAACTGCGGGGTGAGGAGGGGGTGACGGCAAGAGGAGCAGTGGGTATTGGAATGCTGTTTGGCACCCTGTGGAAGGGAGGGTGATGGGGAGTCTGGACAACCGGGGCTCAGGTCCAAGGTGTGGGCAGTCTGGATGGTTCAGCAGACCCATCCCTGCCTCCCTTCTCTAGAATGAGAGGCAGGGAATGCTAACTGGAGAACATCGGCTGGGAGCTGCCTATGAGGCTGTATCTCTTTGGTAAACAGCTTCCACTAAGATAAATCTGGGGTTGTCAGAAAGAGGAAAATGAAAGGTCAGGTTGATGATGGAAGAGGCAAACATCATGTCTGTTGTGCAATCTCCTGATGGCACGAATGCATTTGAATAGATCATCTAATGAGGGGAGAAGTGCTGTCGAAGCCAGGGTGGCTGATCCACACTTGCTGGCTGTCCGAGCGAGTAACTAGAGAGGCAAGGGGAGCAGGAGAGAAGTGCGCTGTGCTGCTCACAACCAGAGGTCGATGGTGAGTGGCTCCACGCTGCCCATGGGCTTCAGGCTCTTATTGCTACAGGAAGATATGGCTAAGGTATAAATACCCTTGCGGCTTTAAATATCTTCTGATTGGGGACATTCATGCTCAGTTCAGTGTTTAGGAAGTATTTCTGTTACGCTGTAAAGAAGTTCTCAGGATAAGATACTTCTTTTCTGCTTGGCGTGTAGTAGTTAAGGGTGAATACGCTTAGGAAACACCTTCCACAGCCTAAAGGGTCTTAGATTCCGATGTCAAACTGGTCTTTTTCAGGAGGACAATGGAAGAGACAGTTAACTGCTTAGCTTTATCTCCTAGCGTCGCCTTGAGTTGGGTAGTGGCACAATACGTCCAAACAGTCAGACAAGTAGGAGCATAGTTTCAACAAGGTAGTCTCTCTCTCTCTCTCTCTCTTTTTAAGGTTTTTTATTTATTTATTTGAGAGGTTGAGTTACAGACAGTGAAAGGGAGAGACAGAGAGAAAGGTCTTCCCTCCGTTGGTTCACTCCCCAAATGGCTGCAATGGCCGGAGCTGCATTGATCCGAAACAAGGAGCCAGGAGCTTCTTCCAGGTCTCCCATGTGGGTGCAGGGGCCCAAGCACTTGGGCCATCTTCTGCTGCTTTCCCAGGCCATAGCAGAGAGCTGGATTGGAAGAGGAGCAGCCAGGACTAGAACCGGTGCCCATATGGGATGCCGGTGCCGCAGGCAGAGGATTAACCCATTACGCCCTGGCGCTGGCCCCAAGGTAGTCTCTCTTGGCAGGCGTGTGTGTCTGTGCAAAGCAGTTTCATGGTAGTTACCTTCTTCCTCAATTTAGTAAGGGACTCCAAGACTTTCCACTGCACTGGTTCACATCTTTTGGATTGTTTAACATTTCTTCCCCGTTAACCATCACAAGCCCTACACAGGCAGGGGAAAGACAGCTTCCTATGGGACTGTGTGCCTACTGTGGCCGCAGGTGTAGCAAGTGATTCTGTTTTATTAGCTTTGGAATTGTCGTTGTTTCCTGGAGAGTAGCCGGGACAGACAGTGACACGCCACAACCAGAGAGCTCCCTCCGACAACTGGGAAAGAACTTTGCAGGTTTTCTGTGCTCTGGGCTTCGATGTAGAGCCAATGAGGCCAAAGACAATGGCAGAATTTAACCTTGACTGACCAGATCATGGCACTCTTTTATAGAAGAAAAGTACAGAACACTTTTTTATTTTTTAAAGATTGATTTATTTATTTGAAAATCAGAGTTATGCAGAGAGCAGAAGCAGAGAGAGAGGTCCTCCATCCGCTGGTTCACTCCCCAGTTGGCTGCAATGGCCGGAGCTGTGTGGATCCGACACCAGGAGCCAGGAGCTTCCTTCAGTTCTCCAACATGGGTGCAGGGGCCCAAGAATTTGGGCCATCTTCTACTGCTTTCCCAGGCCATAGCAGAGAGCTGGATTGGAAGAGGAGCAGCCAGGACTTGAACCAGTGCCCATGTGGGATGCCGTCACTGCAGGCGGTGGCTTCATCCGCTATGGCACAGCACTGGCCCCATGCAGAACTCTTAAGAACACTTATGAAAACAGGTTTATTTAGGGGCTGGCTTATCCCAGGTTGAATGAGTCGATACTGGGTAGGGTGGAAACATCGAAAATTCTGTTTTGTTTTTTTTTTTTTGTCTTTTTGTATTCAGATCATTTGATATGCAAAATTACAAAGAATTTCCAAAATGTTTTTTCAGATTTATCTTCTATTGATCCTACAAGCCAGGCATTTTCAAAATAGGGTGCTGTCCAAGTGTTAGCAACTAAGGTCTTCATACAGCCCCGGAAAATTTTAGAACATCATAAGTTCTATACAAAAAGTATTTAATTTGGGATGTTCATCTGTTCACGTGTTCACTCAAAAATAGCTATTATTTACTATACTGTAGGACTTTCCATGGTTACTGGCCAAGTCTATTTGTGGATGGGTGGTTCTTGCCATACCATTAGCTTACTCGAGATCAGTATCAGACTTTGCAAATACCCTTCTGAAAGGAAAATGATTCTGGAGGCGCCACATGGAATACTTCGGAGGGTCTTTCCTTGGCACTGGCTCGTGGGTGATCAGGAAGTCTTGATGGCTGTCCTGATGGGGCTTACAGGCGTGCCCTGGAGAATGGCGTGGCTGCCCCTGCTCACCCACTGCAGAGGCTCCCAGCCTCCACGCCCAGTGGAGGAACCAAGCATCTTGAGGCAATGCCGCTCTGGGCACTCCACAAGGACAGCGTGCTTAGACTTCACACTCGTGGAAATGACAGAGGAATGTGACCTGTTACCCCAATTCTTTCTCTGTTTGAGAAGTAGAGAGAAAGAGGGGAATGGCGGGGCCGGGGAGATACCTCGGGGGTATGAGGGAGCCCCACGGCCATCTGATCACGCCCGTGCTGTGGGTGACACCTCCCTGCAAACCTGGGCCTCGCTGCTCCGAGAGTAGGGTTTGTCCTAGCAGGCGCCCTCTAAACAGAGCTCCCCAGGGCCGCCTGTGAGCTGAGGAAGTCTCCAGAGTTCACTTGGGGTGGCCGCTGCTGGCTGCCTGCAAGCTGCAGAGGGGGCCATGGCCCCGGATGGCCCTCTGCCCCGGGGCGAGCCTCTGGCCAGCCAGGGAACAGCAGCTCCACACGGCGGCGCCTCCTGTACCCGTGAACACTAACAAAGGCTTCATGTAGCAGGTGTCAGTTCCCACTTGCGGCCCCCACTGAGCTGGCGCCTAGGGTGTGTGCGTGTGTGTAAGGCGCACTGTGACCCGCAGAGGAACATGGTCCCCGTGTCTCTGTTTCCCGCCCCTGTGCTGCCCCTGGGTGGTTTATACACTGCACCTGCTGACGGTCGCTCTCCTATGGCCCCCTTGTCTCTGGGACGCCCCATTTGGTTTCATCCACTGAAAGACCCTTCCTGGCCTACCTCAGGGGTGCTCTCTGGAAGCCACTTTGTATGGGGATTTGGGGAAGACAGCCCTGTCCTTAGCCTGTTGTTGCAGGTCCTTAACCTGTAACAAGCGGGCCTGGAAACAGTTAGCAGAAGCTTTGAACACCATGCAAACCTTCATGGCAAATTACCCACGCCCTGGCTTTTATGTTCATCCAGGACTGTGAGACAGAAAACTGAGCCAACATTTTAGATCAAAAATAGATTTTGGGAGTTGGCATTGCACGGCAGTGGATTAGGCTGTGCTTGGGATGCCCACATCCCATGTTGGAGTGCCCGGGTCAAGTCCCAGTACTCTGCTTCTGATCCGGCTTCCTGCCAGCACAGCCTGGAAAGAGCCAGTACTGGCTCAGACACTCGGGTCCTCACCACCCCTGTGGGAGACAGGCTGAGTTCTGCTCGCTGCTGCAGGATTCGGGGAGTGGCTCAGCTGACGGCAGATCTCTCTGTCTGTCTGTCTCTGTCTGTCTCTCTCTCTCTTGATCTGCCTTTCATGTAGATGAAAATAAATAGATTCCACTTTAAGAAGTGGGTTTTGTAGCATTGGGAACAACAGTAAGGGCTGTTACTAGCAATCTCTTGCATATCTTTAGCATTCCTGGTTCTAAACACAGCTGCTGTTCTTCCATGTGCACTTTGGAGTTTAAAAAACATCGTGAACTTTTATGAATATAAGCATGGCTCATCGTGACGTTATTAAAACCAGCGGTTTTCTGGTTGGCCAGGGGCCAGGACGATAATAGTAGGGATCCTTGGGGACCCCGGGGGATTCTGGCGTAGTTCTATGACGGAGTAAAACAAACTGAGTGAGGTGGTTCTCAGGGATTTTTCCCTTCCCAAAGTTCTTGATGACACAAAGTGACCCTTGCTGACTCACTATTTAATGAGAGAGGGAGAGAGAGAAGGAGAGAGAGAGGGAGGGAGGGTTTTGGACGTGCCACAGCTGGTCACTTCTTCCCTGCCTCTCCTGGGCTCAGGTGAGTAAGCCCTTTGAGAACGCGGCCCCTGGTCTAGCTCCTGCCTGGTATTTTTCAGCCTAAGAAGCCAGAGGTCAGATTGTGCCAAGTTGTTACACACTGAATGTATGCACCTGGCTCCCTGGGTGCACCTTTCCAGGCCTTAGCGCCCAGCACAGGGTGTGCAGTGTGTGAGAGGAGAGGTTTTAGGTTCAAGGTCATGAGTGTGGGGTGCCTGTCTTCCTAGGAGATGAAGGGACCAGGGTTCTGTCTTTCCGCTGCCGTGTGAGGGCCTGGCAGGAAGGTAGCCCTGTAAACCCTGCCCGTAGCCTGACCGCTGGCACCCTGGTGTGGGACTTGCAGCCTGCAACTGTGGGAAAATGAGAGCCTGTTGTTTAAGTCACCCACCCTGCGACATTCTGTTGTAAAAGTCTGGGTTGATGAAGACATGGGAAAGGGCTTTAACTCGGAGCCAAAGGATTATTGCCTTTGGGAACTTTAAGGCAGGGCTGGCGTTGTGGTGCACTGGGTAAGGCCCCAGCTTGCGACACAGGCATCCCGTATGGGAGCGCTGGCTCCAGTCTCGGCTATTTTACTTCCTATCCAGCTTCCTGCTAACATGTCTGGGAAGGCAGGGAGGATGGCCCAAGTGCTTGGGCCCCGGCACCCACACAGGAGATCAGAGTGAAGTCCCTGAATCCTGGCTTTGGCCTAGCCTGGCCTTGGCCATTGTGGCCATCTGTGGAGTGAACCAGTAGATGGAAGATCTCTCTCTCTCTCTGCCTTTCAAATAAATAAATCTTTAAAAAAATTTCGACTATGAGTAGAAGTCATTCTAACGTGAGCAGTCACCATCTAAAATAAACTTGAGCAATAAGGAACTTATTTTTTTTTTAAAGATTTCTTTTTTTATTTATTTGAAAGACAGAGCTACATGCAACAGGTGGGGCTGGGCCAGGCTGAAGCCAGGAGCCTCTTCCAGGTCTCCCACACAGGTGCCGGGCCCCAAGCACTTGGGCCATCTTCCACTGCTTTCCAGGCCATGGCAGAGAGCTGATTCCGAAATGGAGCAGCAGAACTCGAACCGGCGC